CTAACATCTGAGCATGCAATGAGAGTCTGAACCGAATCTCCAAATTGGTTTTGGAAATAAGTTAAACGCAAAAGAAATGCATGCATGACTCGTTTTCTTGCATAAGGACTGAACCTGGTTGGCGCTTCACATTACTGAACTGTTGACCTCTGCAAACTATAAGAAGCTTTCCGAGTGCAATCTGGATTAAGACTGCAAGCAAGACACTGTCAGTGAGTGTGAAGCAGAGCTACAGAGACGAGGAGAAACCAAAGCGGACGATGCTGTAACGCTCTCAGTCTCAGATGCTTGCAACCTGTGCATTCCAGTTAGAGAGCTATTTTGTGTCTTTTGTCATGTTGCAATAATAAAATGTTAATCAAACGCCTTTTCTTAAACATCTTAAAATGTTAAGATAATCAAACCCAGCACTGTGCAAAACCACGTAATCTCTGCGGACTGAATCATTTTAGTGAATCTATTGGTTCAGTTGAGTTGATTCACTGATTCTTTTGTCTTCATTGAACTGAGATATTTAGTGAAGTGCTGTGGGTTTATTCATTGGGACTTTTCTAGTTTCTAGTGACTAGTTCAGATGGTGGTTTTTGTTGCTGTGACTGTGAATGATCTCTGATGTCTATAATGCATGAAGTAGCTATATGATAGTTTTAGAAGATTGTAGTTGAATTGTTTGAAGCAGTTTGAATACAATGGTAGCGCAACCTTTAGCGTTCATTCTGTGCTTTTGTTCTCTCGCTCTATAAAAGTCACCTTATTGTGATGCATGAAACGGGGGGGGGGGTTTCAGGTTTAAAAATAATCAGCAGAAGAGCAGAGAGCTTGACGTGTGTAACTCAAACTGTGTTGTGTGTGTATTTAATGTGTCGTGTGTCTGGAGCATTTCTCTAGTTTGAATGGAGAGAGAACTAGCAGCTGAGATTGAACAGAACAATGTGTATCTGCGTCACTTCCTGTTAGCGTTCGCCAGGAGATTCTTTCATTCTTTAAGCCTCGCTATTCATTAGAGACTCGAGAATGTCTGCGAAAATATGAAGAAGATGCTAACGATGAGCAGAACTTCGTGAGATCTGGGTTCGAATACATCTGTAAACACTGTCAGAGAGGAGAGCAGATGGACATCTAAACACACGTGTGTCTGTGTGCTTTTGTTCATCAGGATTTCAGCTTGACATTTACTTTCATGCATTTCCAGACACTTTTTATCCGAAGCGACTCGCATTGCATTCAAAGTCTTGCTTTCCCTGGGAATCGAACCCATGACCCTGGTGTTGCCAGCGCGGCAGCGCCATGATCTACTGTTTGAGCTACAGTAATGCTGCATGTGTTTATGCATAACAGAAAGTGTATTTTTGGCACTGTACAGTTTTGCACCACTCTTGTAGTGGCCAATTTTTTTTTTTAAATAGTAAATATTACATATGTGAGCCTGCAGCACAAAAGCAGTCTTAAGTCGCTGGGGTATATTTGTAGCAATAGCCAACAATACATTGTATGGGTCAAAATTATCCATTTCTCTTTTATGCCAAAAATCATTAGGATATTAAGTAAAGATCATGTTCCATGAAGATATTTTGTAAATCTCCTACCGTAAATATATCAAAACTTAATTTTTGATTAGTAATATGCATTGCTAAGAACTTCATTTGAACAACTTTAAAGATGATTTTCTCAATATTTAGATTTTTTTTGCACCCTCAGATTCCAGATTTTCAAATAGTTGTATCTCAGCCAAATATTGTCCTATCCTAACAAACCATACATCAATGGAAAGCTTATTTATTCAGCTTTCAGATGATGTATACATCTCAATTTCACAAAATTGACCCTTATGACTGGTTTTGTGCTCCAGGGTCACAAATAGTAAATGTTGCATTGCAATGGTAAAAACTGCATCAGTTTTAGATTGTGCATCAGAGAGTTCAGTATGTTTCTCATCTGCAGAAAGAGCCACAGAAGGTTTCATTCAGAAATTTCTACACATCTGTGTCTGTTGATGGCATATTTTGGCTAATTTGATGATGTTTTTCAAGTAGTGTTCTCAGCTCTAACACTTTTACATCAGTTCAATTAGCAGGTTTCCACTGATTTAAATCTTTGGAAATCTTTAGAATTGAAATGATGTAAAAAGTGTTAAGCATTAGAAATCGCAACTGGTTCTTGGCAAATAAATGCTGTTAAATCAGTGTGTTTGGAGAAACCGTGCCCTTGACAGCTGAAAATGACTGCTTAAGCAAGAGTGAAAGAAACACCTGAAGTGAAGAACCTGCTTGATCGAACGCCTGTCTGAAACCCGGTGTGACCCTGAAAGCCGTGAGGTGTTTGACCTGCCGATCATCTTTATTATTAAGGCCTTTGTTTTGACGAGGCACATGTAGGTTAGAGGTTTCTCAGATCACTCACACTCACACTCTCTCACACACACACACACACACACTCAGATACAAGTACTGCAGCAGAGCAGTGAGCAGCAGATGAGAAGACGTGATCTGAAGACACATCCAGGTGCATCTTGATGGACATTTTTACACTCAGACCTGAAAAAGTGGAGCATAGAAACCAGCAGCTCTATCAGAGAATTAGGGAAAGAGATGTGACGAGCAGCGGAATCATGTCAATATTCAAACAGAGGAGGAATATTATCGTTCATCTGCATTAAATGAGCAGCAGCACTGTAAGTGAGGATGTACTGTATGGACATAAAACCCCGTGAGGAGAATGTGGCGCGTTGGGTTCGATCTAAAACCGTCCTGCACAGGAATCTGTGTCGACCGAGGCGCTTCCTTCACCAACACTCAACCAGACTAACCCAAACCAAAACCAGGTAAAGTCCTGACTAAACCACCTCTCAGATTGAGAACATGGTTTACTGGGAATATGCTCATATTGAGCTGAAATATGCTCTGCTTCACACTGAAAGTGTAACCGGTGGTTTTAATCATATTTCTACACAACTGCTGCAAAAAATGTGATGTTCTCCTTCTACTGTTTTCCAGTAGAAATATCTGCTAATGGAGTCAGAAAAATAAACTTGTTTTGCCCTTGAATGAAGTTGATTTTTATGACTCGGTGCATTTAATGGATCGTGCTGTTGTTTAACAACATTCTGATAGTTCAGCTCACCAAATGTCTTTCTGAAAATAACTCACATTGGACAAAAACTCCATGAAATAGTGTTTAAAGTTGTGAGTTATAAAGACTGATTAAGGTCTATTGACATCTGTTTGTTCATAAACTTGAATACATTTCTCGGAAACACTTCTTATCGTCTCTCATTTTGCATCTCCAGTAAATGTATCTTGATTTAAGAAGTACTGGAAAACAAGACCGAAATACTGAGGAAGAACAGCAGTGTTGTCAGATTAATTCGTCTGTAACAGGAGGAGCTCTGGCTGCAGGATGCTGGTTTGTCTCCGCTGGTAACAGGTGAAGAAGAAGACGTCGATAAAGCCGTCCTGTTGTCGACTCTCACTAAGACTCAAGCAGCGGCGGTTCAGAGACGCATCGACTCGTACACCTGCTCGCTGCGCAAGAGGAACAAAACGCCAGCGCGACACGTCAGAGACGTCTTTGCCTCCCCCATTGCTCAGGTAACAGCACACCTGTGTGTGTGTGTGTGTGTTTATAATAATATTTGATTTTGGACCCACTAACAATTTAAGGGGCCATTCACACAGAATGCATGAATGTAAACATGCGAGACAGACGGGTTTGACCATTGTGCTCGAGTCTCGCATCTTTTGCAGTGTCTCGCACATGACACAGCGTCCACACTCTTCTGAACTGAGCTGGACGATCACATCACTGAATCAACAATGAACTGACTTTAACTGATAAACGGACTGTTTTCTATCGTCCTCTTGCATTATCAGCACACACTTTTCCTGTTTGACACTGTAAAGCTGCTTTGACACAATCTGTATTGTATAAAGCGCTATAGAAATAAAGGTGACTTGACAAAGACAGCACTTTTTTTCCCAATTCCACTGCCCAAATGTTGCATTTTCAAAGACAAGATGCCATTCTATGTGAATGGCCCCTAAACGTTTTGCATCATTTGATCTTTATAACAGCTGTGACTTAAAAATCACGTTAATTAGAATATCATAAGGAATCTGATTTTCTTGCATCTTTTTCATTGTACTGTGAGAACATCTTGACATCAACACACATTTACACATCAATAGAATGACGTTTTATGCATTTTTGCATTACATGCACTTGATGGAAATCTTAGAGTCGTGTCTTGTGTCTTTCACAGCATCTCGCACATTATACGCCATTCTAAAAACACTGAGCTCAAGATTCTTCAGCTTTTAAAAACATGTCTCATGGCCTTGTGTTCATTTTCATTCCACTGAACCTGCATCCAAATGTGTTCTGTGTGAATGGCCATCGTAATAAATAATAAAACTATGATTTGACTTCTTTGATAATGAAATGCACAGCTGACATGTGTCAGATTTGCTGATCAGCTGAAATAATAGTACGGTGTTCGAGTGTTTCTGGTTGTATAATGGCAGAAAGACAGTAAGTGTGTGGAGGAACAGTCAGTCGTGGCATTTGTAAAGGCCTGTATGCGCTCGTGCTCCACAGCACACAATACACACTCACGTCATGTCAGATCATATCAGCGCATCTGAATAAAGCCTTGTGTTCTGTTCATCTTTTGTGTGTGTGTGAGTGTGAGTGTGAGTGCGTGCGTGCGTGCGTGAGTGAGTGAGTGAGTGAGTGCGTGAGTGCGTGCGTGAGTGAGTGAGTGAGTGAGTGTGTGTGTGTGTGTGTGCGTGCGTGCGTGAAATGCACTACAGCATCGTGATCCTAACGGTTCATTATTCTGTTTATTATTCAGTGATATTATCAGCTGCAGATCTTCACCTGTCACATCTATTAATATAAGAGCATATGTGTGTTTAATAACATTCAAATGCTTCAGATTCGGAGAGATGAGCAGTGATTATACATTAACTCAGCGCTTGTGAATGCAGCACGTGCCCTTTGAACACAAGATGCAATTTCCTGCCTTTTCACATGGAAATCATATTCAAATGGATCAGATAGTGAACGCTTCCCGCTGTCAATGGAAACAGCCGTTAACGGCGTGTGTGTGTGTGTAGCTGTCAGCGGTCAGGAGACTCAAGGGCTGCAGATGGACGAGATCTTTATCACAGACGTGGCGTATTGTGAACAAGCAGCCATCTTACTGAAACAAGCCAAACTACCACAGAACAACAGCAGCCAGTGCAGGAGAGACGACGGAGCGCTGCCGGTAAGACTCACTGTTTGCCTGTCTACAGTTACACACCATAGCAACACACTAAAAACACCATAGCAACCGCATAACAACACTCACTGTCCGCCTGTCTACAGTTACACACCATAGCAACACACTAAAAACACCATAGCAACCGCATAACAACACTCACTGTCCGCCTGTCAACAGTTACACGACATAGTGTTCCTATGGCTCAGTGCTAGAGCATTGCATTAGCCACGTAAAAGGTTGTGGGTTCAATTGCCAGGGGACACACATACTGGTAAAAAAATGTATAGCCTGAATGCACTGTAAGTCGCTTTGGATAAAAGCGTCTGCTAAATGCATAAATTATTAAATTATAAATTACATAGCAACACACTAAAAACACCATAGCAACCGCATAACAACACACACTGTCTGCCTGTCTACAGTTACACACCATAGCAACACACTGAGAACTGCTCAGAATACCATAGCAACCATATAGCAACACACTGAATACTGCTCAGAACACCATAGCAACCAAACAGCAACACTTGCTGTCTGCCTGTCTACAGTTAGACACCATAGCAACACACTGAGAACTGCTCAGAATACCATAGCAACCATATAGCAACACACTGAATACTGCTCAGAACACCATAGCAACCAAACAGCAACACTTGCTGTCTGCCTGTCTACAGTTAGACACCATAGCAACACACTGAGAACTGCTCAGAACACCATAGCAACCACATAGCAACACACTAAAAATTACTCAGAACACCATAGCAACCACACAGCAACACTCACTGTCTGTCTGTCTAGTTACAGACCATAGCAACACACTAAACACTGCTCTAAGCACCACAGCAACCACATAGCAACACACTAAGAAGAACCACTCATAACACCATGGAAACCGCATAGCAAGCAACACACTAAAAATTGTTCAGAACACCATAGCAACACTGTCTGCCTGTCTACAGTAACAGACCACAGCAACACACTAAACACTGCTCAGAACACCATAGCAACCACACAGCAACACACTAAACACTTCTCTAAGCACCACAGCAACCACATAGCAACACACTAAGAACCACTCATAACAACATAGAAACCGCATAGCAACACACTAAAAATTGCTCAGAACACCATAGCAACCACACAGCAACACTCACTGTCTGCCTGTCTGTCTCTCTGCAGTTATTGGCTGATGCTCATAATCTCAGTATGTCTAAATAATAATAATAATGATAATAAAATCAAACCAGTGAACAGAGAGGGGTGTGTAGCACACGTGTCGTCTCACCTGCTCCTCTTCCCATCTCTCTCTCTCCGTCTGTAGCGGGTCATCTGTCCGCAGTGCCGGCTGGGAGTGACGCGGGTGCTGGATCTTTCCCAGCAGGACATGAAGAAGGTTCGTCAGCTGGCTCTGATTGACATGACGGCGCTCTGCGACCTGCTGGGGCTCGAGGTCAAACGACACAAAACCTGCAAACGGAAAATCCCTGGTGAGTTTCCTGTCACATGACCACACTCATCTGTGTGACCAATAATCAGAATCCTGTCGAATGTCTTCCTGTTTGTCAGAGAGCTGTTTGTTCGGCGTTCCTCTCGCCTCATTGGTGGAGAGCGATCAGAAGATCAAACCCAACACTCAGATCCCACTCTTCCTCCAAACAGTACGTCATGACATCATTTCCTTTTGCACCAATTCATTGCTTTCAAACTATTATAATGGTGCTTTAAGGTCGGCATGAAATGTAAAGGTAACACATAATCACTTAAAGCCTTTTTATATAAAAGTAGTTTTAATGCAATGATGATGCACCTTATAATGCATTGTATGATCTCATGAATAACTGTAACCACAGTTACAATACATTATAATACTCATCTATTTATTGTTACACCTTTAGAGAATATAATGCATTAAATCACGACAAACCAACCGTCAAGTATTATAATGCATTTTAACCAATTATTTATGGAAAGATATAATTACTAACTAACATAACGAATACCTTTATAATGCATTATACATAAAGGCTTTAAGTAAAGTGTTATTGATGTGAATTCACCTTATTTATTTGATCTTATGGTAAGCAATTCATCCGTACATGTTTCATTTTTTTAAACATGTTTTGACCGCATGTTTACCCAAAATGTTATAACTGGATCTTCCAGTGAAAATGACTTTCCAATCATTCGGTGCTTTTAAACTCCACCAGTACAAGCTCACATTCAGACCCGCCTCCGTTTCTGAGAGCCACGCCCACACTTCAACATCCAATCAACAACAGATGCACAGAACCAAGTCCCGCCCAACATTTTTTCCTTTTCGATAATCTGTCTTGGATGTACGTCACCATACAGAAGAAAGATTGGCTGCTGCTTCCATTTCATCGAGTTCAACTAAAACTCTTGGGTGTTTTCTCCTCTCTGTTTCAGCTTCTGTCCTTTCTGGAGAAGAAGGGTCTCGATTCTGAAGGGATTCTGCGGGTTCCAGGGTCTCAGGCCAGAATCAAAGTAACATAAAACATTATTATCAAATAAGTACTAAAAGTATCTTGGTAGTACCATGGTATCCATTGAAGTACCATCTGACACCACAAGGTTCACACAGACACAGGCATTGGAATGTGGAAAAATGCAAGGTCTCAAGACACATTTTTTAAGTTGAACTTATTTTAACTTGAGCGCCATGTTTTTAGAACGCTGTTTCATGCATGAGACACCAAGTGCAACAATGAAACACACCCGTCCAGCACTTGTTTACATAGAAAATCAATGGGAAAGTAGCGCAGTGGAATGGAAAAACAGGGTTTTTTTTTTGAATGGCCGTTTACTGTACCATGGTATAACCAAAGTATTTTATGCATCACACACGAAGAAGCTCTGTGTGAGTGTGTTTCGGCTCACAGTCGCTGTGTCGGTCGTAGGTGCTGCAGCAGATGCTGGAGAACTCGTTTTACAGCGGTTCGTTCAGCTGGGACGAGGTCAGTCCGAATGACGCCGCCGCTCTGCTCAAGAAGTTCATCCGTGAACTCCCAGCGCCGCTGCTGACCGCCGAACACCTCAACACCTTCAGCGCCGTCAGAGGTGCGTGAGGCACAACAGCAGGTCTCACTGAGGTCCTGTATGTCGTATGGTGTGTAGAGGTGTTGTGAATCTACATCACAGTAGCTGGACTTCACCAGAAGAAGAGACCAAAATACTCACTTGTTTATGGATGAACAGTCAAAGATTTATATATGATCTGATATTGTCTTGGTCTAATAATATTGGTATTATGTGTCATTGGTTTCTTATAGAGTGAAAAGTCTTTTTGAGGGAGAATCATGTTTAAATTGTTTTCTACAGATATTGCAGACCTGAAGCAGAAGCTGCACATGTTGAATCTTCTTGTGCTGCTGCTGCCAGAACCCAACAGAAACACACTGAAGGTACAAACCACACACACACTCATACGCACATACACACACACGCGCA